AAATGAATAAATTAGAAATATAAGAGTAAACAAAGTATACGAAGGTATCTCATCCCCTAGAAGGGTTACAGAAAGACATTCATGATTAGAGAGCTGTTATGCCTGACAGGTGTTGTACATAGAGCAAGGACTCTCCAGTGAAGCTTTTCTGTCTGTACAGTAGATGAGTCCAACTCCAAGCCTCTCCAAACTGCTCAGGTTTTGTAAGCATTAATTAATGCTTCATTAAGCATGTACATCCCAACTTCCCTGCAGAGCTGTAATCCAAGTTTTTCCAACTTAAGTTTAAAATTTTTATTTGCTTTCTTCTTTTTGCCTATCAAGACCTGCAGGTTTATGTGGCAAAAGATAACATATCAGACATTTGACATCTTCCTCATGGAGATGCTCCTTTTTCAATTTGTGTTTTCAATGGCTACAGGTCTCAGGAGAACCCTTCTTTTAGTGAGAGCTAAGCTAGAACTGAAGAGTAGTTTTCTGATTTAGAAATTGAAAAAAAAAGAAGAGGAACCAAAACAAACTCCTGTCAAAGCATGAAATGACACTGCCTTGTGAGACAGCAAGAAAATAAGTTCTAAGAGCTTGAAAATCTGCAGTTCTCTGAACTAATTCAAACCTTCAGATTCAACAGGCAAATTTAGCCTGAGATTTTACTGTGGCTGGAGACATTTTGCACACTTTTTCACACTCCATTTCTTGCTCTCTTTTCCCTCCCTCTCTGTCAATTACTAGTGGAATCTCAGAGTGCTGCTGGCGGTTCTCCCCACTCCAGATCCATGACAAGCATCTGCTGAAGAGTACAGCGTATGTTATGCTATGTGCTGTTAATTCTGGATGCCTTAGGGCTTGGAAGGATCTTGTAAACTTAGAGAAATTTCCACGCACAGTATGACAAGTTCAAAACGGTCGGCAAAACTTCATTAAACCAGAAACTCCTAAGGGTAGCTAATGAAACACCTCTGTAAAAGCAATATTGAGAAAGGATGGCCCAGCTTCCAGGGGGTTGAAGCTCCCATCAAAAGGAAGGAGGAAGGACACAGCATGGCAGAAGAGATGCTTAGCTTTCTTTCACTAGGCCATTGGAATCAGCACTGGAATGAAAATTCTTCCTGTCTGACCAAGAAAAGAATTGCTAGTAATATATTAAACACAAAATTTTTTTTTTCCTAACTACAAGGCTATCCAACTCATGAACATCAGGTTTTGTTCTGCATTCTCAACAGGAACAATCATGAAAATCTCATGGGAAAAATGCTCAGCTGAAAGTTGGGTCCAAAATCCAAGAAACCACAAAATGCAAATCTCCCCTGCCTTGCTGTACCTATATTTCCTCAAAGTTTAAAGCGGTTTCAGTGAACGTATTCTGAATTAAAATTTGTAAAAAAAGTCACAGTTTTCACATGATTTCAAGTTTCCCTGGAAAAGCTCTTCACAGATCTAATCCATGTGCTGTTTTGGAGGCAAAACTGTTGCTCTAGTGGCTGTGCAGATGATAACTGATATGCTACATACTCCTAAATCAAAGCTTAGGCAACCTATTGAATACTCGTACATATGGTGAAATTCTACACTTCAATGATTATATCTCAGTAGGGGACCAAAAATAAACAAAAGAAGGAATAACTAGCATAGACTAGAAGTATTTCTTTTACTAGTTCTGCCCTTTCAACCGCACATCATCTTCATGCATACATTGTGCTGCAAAAAATGGAGTGATGTCCCCAATAACTGTGGTTCTGCTTAGGAGGTAACTGATGAGATGAACATGATGGGTATCATCCTTTAGTTGCATCATCATGGATCTAAAAGGTCACCCAACCCAAGAGCCCACTCGAAAAATAACTTTATCTGGAAAGTCTTGCCTTATTAAAGACATATTCCCTAACTTCCTAACACAGAGAAGAAGATATAAATGGAGATCTGGACATTTGTTTCAGTTTTGCATGGAACAAGCAGTTGACTTGAACAGCCCACCTTTTTTTTGGTGGAATGGAAGACGCAGTCTTAGATAGTGGAAATCATAGGTTTATTTCTGCTGACCTCTGCATTTCTGTTTGGTTGTCTCTAGTTTGAAACTCAACAATTGTAGTCAAGGAAAGGAAAGGGAGGAAAAAGTGAAGTGTTATTGAAGAAGAGGTGTTTACTCTAGAATGCTTGGGACTGGTTAAGATACTGTCTCTGTTCTTCCTCTTTTTCCCTTCCTTTGTCACAATTGTCACAGATGTCTCTGGCTGCATGAGGCTCCTAGTGTGGGCCAAGAAGCTTTTGTTTGGTTTGCTTTTTAAAATAGAGAACAGTCAGTCTGTTCTTCTTTCCGTGGCACATCATCAACAATATTACAAAGAACAGGAGGGGGACACTGAAGCCAATTTCTGCTTTTCCGAACAAAGCATGTGGCTGCTATTTTACTTTAAGGAAGCGTTCTAGAGAGTGTTTTCAGGTACTTCAGAAAAGTAAAGAACTGTTAATGATTTTTCCATAGTTATTCTAATGCCTCACACTTAAAACCATAAAAACCAGTAGGTAATATAATGCATAAGCACAAAAGCATCTAGAAAATAACCACAGAAAATAACTAAAATAGCAAAAAGAACAGATACATCATAGAAGAACAATCTCCCATCTTAAAGAAAACTCTTTAAAAAAAGCCTTACAGTATTAAGTAAACATAGGCTTGTAGAATATGTGCAAGTTTAACCAATCAAAAGCTAAAAGTAGTTCAATTAAAATGTAAGTCCTGTCACTATACACTTGCCAAAAGTCCTCCTGCACATTACACAGTGAAGAAAAGTTAAGATGCATTCTTAAGATTCCTCATGCTTTACAAATCAACAGCTATGCTCAGCTGGGAAACATTAAAAAAAAAAAGGTTTGAATCCTTTTCAGAATAAAAGATTTCAAAATATGCTGTTTTTTCTCTAAAGAAACACATGTCTTAAAGAAGAATACAATAGTTGAACAGAGCAGTTATATTTTAAAGAACAGGCTTAAGTTACTCAGGTCAAATTCTCCCTAAGATACATGTATGCATCTTCAATTATCTTCATATATACAGCAGACAGCTGCAATCATCAGCTTATTTGCAGTGTATCTAATACCAACCCCTTTTAAAAACTTGTTTTACAAGTACCTGCCGATGATGTCAAAATGAAACTTTCCTCTGCAGCTGTGAAGTACCCATTGAAAGAAACTGGACTTTTATCATACTTGGTGGCATTCAAAAGATATGCTTACCCCAACAAAATATCCTTTCATGTAGAAAAGATAATTCTAAAATCATAGGCCTGCTATCTTTAGGAGTAGCTCAAAACAATATTTAATGATAAAAGCTATTGACACAGGCAGAAATGCTGCATTTATTTTGTTCAATAGGTTACTAAAGCACTCGAGGAGGAGGAAATTGACTTGAACTACAAAAGAAAAAAGAAAAAAAAAGAAAAAGATGAAAATTTGACTTTGTCTGAAACAAATCAGAATTACAACTGAAAATATGAAAAATGGAGTAGTGTATATTCGTTCAGAGTTAATTAAGCACACAAGGACGCTGCACCCACTTACTTAAAAGAGGATTCTGATCCAATGTGCCAGTGCTGACTTTGACTCTAACTACATTCTTCTACTCACATTGCACTCAAAACCCAATGAATTCCTGCTTACCTACTTCTCTTAATAACAGAACAAAGGAAATATGCTCTAGAGGCACAAGGTGACTTACAAGCTGATAACTGGGAAGGAGTGTAACACAACTGATCAACTTTCCAACACAAAAACTGGGGTATCACAGTCCTTTCTTGCACTCATGACAGACAACACCTTTCCTCCATCATATGCTTACACAGAATCTGGATCCCTCAGCACATCTTCATAATCCTCCTTGTGCAGGCATACACTCATCGCAGTCTCCATTAAACCTTCCCCTGAAGGAATTCTTTAGCTTCTAGCCACAAACCTGCCTGTGCCTATTCTCTGAAGACAACTACTAACTCTCACAAGTTACATCAAGAGACTCTCCACATGTAATGAAAATCACATTTAAAAAAGCAACATGACCTTCATAAACAGCTATATAACCATGATCCATATATCCACTGCACTCAGTTCACATCTCTTAAGGAACCATCTAATGAGAACTGTGATTATATATGCAGAATATAAGTGAGAATATGAAAATATAAACAAGATCAATATAAATACTCTATTTTGTTTCTAGTTGAGAAATATTTGATTATAAGTACTCCTTTCGTCCAGCTCACAAAACATACATAAGAGAGTTCAGACATGCTCTGACAATTTTGAAACTTTTGTCCTAGAAAAATCAATGGAGTTGGATAAAACCTGCAGATCTTCTCTGACAATAAAGAACTGTAAATTGTTGCTATTTCAACTGTGGGCTTTGAATGTATACTAGTAAAAGGACTTGTCCAAAATGCAGTAACGACAACCTTAGCAAAATGTGATGACAAGTTTCTATTTAGTGACCTAAATGCCTTCTTCCTCTTTAGTAACTGAAAGTCAACGTGAGAGAATTAAAGAACATTTAATTATTTGTAACTTTCACCAACGATTTATCCTGCAAAGATCCACTTATACCACCCCTCTCCAAACAGGAAAGTTTATGGAAGTTCAAAAAGGGATCAGCAAAATTAATGAAAGAAAAACTTACTAAGAGCACTTAAGTGCAAAAGACATTACCTCAGACTAGGTAAGCTCTAGTCACAAACCGTGGGTGAGCTGCATTGTAGGGAAGTTTTACTGTCCGAATATTTGCCCTATTCTTACTGCTTTCCAGTGCATCTCTTTTGGCTGTTGCTAGAGACAAGGTATGAGGCGAGTCTGACTGCTAGAGTCAATCCATGCCTTCAGCCACAGAGAATTTTCCAACAGCCTCAAATGCATTCTGATCCAGGCCCATAGCCAAAATCCCAAATACAGATTTTGCCCTCAAATAGACTGTATTCAGGACACACAGAGAAACCCAAGCACTGAGACATGAGACCCACCTGTGCATTCATGTTGCAGTCCTTTCCCATAGTATCCTTTCTCACAGATGCACTCAAACTGGCCGGTGTGAGTGCCACATTTACAGCTTGCCATGATGTCACAGCAGTTTTCACTTGCCTCACAGAGATATGAACAATGCGATATATCTTCTTGGATGTAGCTGCCAGAGGGTAGGTCTGAAACAGTATCAATTTATTAACAAAAAAAAACTCCACAAAGCTCCCTCCACAGTCTCGAATTAAGTCATTAGTGAAACATTTCTTAAAAACGCTAAGTTCCAGTCCTAAGCAGTAGTGATGGCAGCACAAAGCTGAGCCTTGCTACATTTAAAATGTAAAAAAACCTAGCGTTCTTATTCTGGAAAAAGGCTCACTGAAATCCATGGTGCAAAGATTCTTCAATTTTCTCACTCAGCTTCATTTGAGTCTAACACTACCAGAACGTGGTCTCACTCCCAAGAGAGGCTGCTGAGACAACTTCTCCCAGCTTTGGCAGATGCCATCTTTGGCAGCAGGAGAGCATTTGGCCTTGAATGTACAACCAGTTGGTCATATTAAAAAAAAATCTTTCCTTTGGCATATTCACACAGACCAATTAAACCTACCTGGAACAAACAGGATGGCAGTAAAGCACACTACTTATGTAAAAGTAGCAGGCTTTTAAAAACTAAGTGTAGCAAATAAATGCTAATGGCTAGTCTGATGCATGTTCTAAGCCTCAATCAAGCAGCACTGGTTTACAAAGAAGGTCTAGTCACATGTTCTCACTTGCTAGTCTAAATTTATTCTATTTCTCAGGAATAACTGTTTTTTTTAGAATATGTCAGAATAAGAAAAGATAAAACCACAGTCCAAACTCTCCACCCCTTGGTCTTTCCAGTTTTACTGAACGTATAAGGTCATAAACACAAATAGTATTTACTCTTACACGCAGGGATCTAAATCAGTTCTGACCAGGCTAGCTTTTGTTGCTGTGTAAAATACCAACAGGTATTAAGGCTAGTCTTAAGGTGTGTACTAGGTGCCTCTTTTGAACAACCATGTATCTGACCACAAGGTTCACATATTCAAGCAAAAGTTACACCTAGCCAAGACCACAGATGAGTTGAATGGAGGTAAGTATGTATAAACCAAGGAGGAGAATTTGGCTCACATTTTGATGCCGATGAGTTAGTTAAACAAACAGTTTATCCTTTTCCCTGAGGAATGAACAAGTCTGCTAGAAAGTAAGAGGAAAAAAAAAAAAAAAGAGAGAATCAACCCTACATGAAATGCAATTACAAGATAGTACTGGAGATCTTTCCATTCAGACCTCTCTGCTCCCTGTAGACTTCTGAGGTTGGTACGTTAATACCTTCATGAAGAGCCCTGCGTGCCAGGGCTTCAAACTCAGTAAAACTGTGAAGAAGGTAACAGTGATCTTCTTTTGGATGAGACGCCATGTCATTCAGTTCTCGGATATTTCCCTGCCATATCCCGAAGGTGAAGATCTCCACTCCAAATTCACGCAGGGATGCTGCAATGGGCCTTGGGTCTCCTCCATTGGAATATCCATCAGTTATGAGAAATATCACCTTTGTGGCATTTCCACGGGCATGCCGTAATATTTGCTGGAAAAGAAAATGAAATTGCACACCTCAGCAAAAGGTTAGTAGTGGTTGATCTGTACATTACTTCTTCCATGATGTAGCGTCTTTTATTCGAATTACACAGCTAGACTAAGTCCCTGCAAGACCACTCACTATAATGAAGATGAACAATCTGCAAGTAAAGCCTGTGGTTAGACAAGGGCAAACATTGAGTCACACTTCAGATGGTTAGAGTCTGCATAATCGCAGAAATCATGACACGCTCTGAAATGAGACACTTTTCATGCTGACTGACAAAGTCATCTGTGTATCAGACAGCAATGATCCTGACCAGTGCTTTAGCAACTTCAGGTTGCAGTCTGAACAGGTAATATAAAGGTTGAAAATCCAGTGAGAGACCCATGGGACCAAAGTTCAGACGATACCAACTGTCTCAGTGCCATGGGAGTGATGTGGATGGGTATCAGATGCCAGTTTGGTTCATATTGTTTTTCTGTTCAGCACATAAAAGCCATTCAGTTCCAAACTTGCTTGACCATTCAGGTTGGTGAAAACTCACCAAACTCCACCATGAAAATGTGCTGCAACTGTACCACAAATTGTGGCACGTCGACTCTCATTATCGTGGCTTTCAGTATGTAATTTATGGACAAATCCTCTACAGTTTGTAAGGAGTAACTAAGAACAGTAAGTATTTTATTAGAGATTATTTTGCTCAAAAAAATCCACAGATCTATTAGAAGAATTGTAGGCACTGATAGATCAACAAAAGGTGAGGAATCACTCAAAACCACAGGTGCGAATGTTGGAAACAGCTCTCACACAATCAGCTTTTTATATGAGGAATCTATGAGTGGTTTCCACCGTGATTATCTGGCCACAGGCCCAGGAATTTTCTATTTCCATGTGTTCCTTCCCATTTTCCCTCTACCATTTCCTTGTCTAAAAGATGAAATCTACTGAATTTCTGGAAAAACAAAACAGTGGCTGTGTCTTTCTCTTTCCATATAAGATAGAATGGAAAAGACCTATTTTCCCAGTAAATCCACAAGAAATTTAACAGTGTATGTATAGACAGAAAACATGCCACAGGGCATGTACATACATGCACATGGATATGAAGAAAAAGGTAGTCAGATGGAAGACATTTCGTCAGGAACAGTAGTATTGTAACAAAAGCATCTCAGATACCTGATGTAAAATGCAAAAACAAAGCTGTGCCTCTCTCTACCACTGGAAGTTGAACAGGTTTTAGAAACAGATGAGAACACGGGATTAGTTAGAAAAAGGTTCCTACTCATTGCCAGGCTAGTAAATCATAAATAAAAGCAAAGAATTTGGGTACATCTCCTATTAAACAAGCTTCAAAAGAGTGATGATGCACAGTGTGAGTAGCTTCCCTAAATGCACCCTCAGCATGCCTCCTACCGTTAGCTACTGAATCTTCACCACCAGCACAATTGCACTAGAAAGCTGGAACCTGGAAAAATCAGCACTTCTCAGAATTGTCTATGCACGGAAAACAAAACCTAAAGCATGACAACAACCACTAGAGTTTCCTATGGCATCATGCATTCAAGGACTGAATGTCAAGTCAGAGACAATAGTTACAAGTTTAACCATGTAACCAGTTGAAGAAGTTGAAGAAAGAGAAATAAGTAACTAAAAAAACGCCCTTCCAGTTGTATCCTCCATGGACTACAAACCACTCTATGGAGTTCCCATTCTTGTAATCAGCCACAGTCTGCCAGAGCGTGAGTAAATATGAGACCACCACCAATTTCCTCTTGCTGGCAACGTGCTGTCTGCTGCCCTAAAGCAGGGGATTGTGAAGGTGTATTTTCTCCTTCCTCTGTGAACTTACGTAGAAAGAATCAGGTGCAGACTTTCAACTTGGTGGCATGCAAATTACCACCATGTTTACTTCAATAATAGATTGTATCATGCTACAATCAATACAACAGACCACATTTGACAGACCTTCAGGTGATACTCCAAAAACCACACCATTGTATGATGTGTAGTAAATGCATTTAAGCCATCCTTAACAAACACAAATTCCAAAACCAAAGATGAACTGAGTTGAGCAGTTTTATTACAAAATCTTAAAGTAACACTTAGAAAGTAAAATTATCTGCCTTTCAGCTCAATCAAAAGCTCACAAATTAGGCCAGTCCAAAGAACCCGCAGAAATTTTATAATCTTTCTCAGTTGGCTAGACCACGTTTCAGGACAATTTGATTTTTATTTGACAAGTCACTGATTTCAGGTAGATACTAAACAAAAACACGCACACACACCATAAATCAAAGCAGAAACTATTGGCACCGTGGTCAGAAAGACTGCCAAGCAATGTGTTGCTGTTGGGCTTGATTTTATTACTACTTGTATGCAAAACCCAAAGGGAGTGAAATCAAATTCTCTTGAAGACACAAATGCCCTTCACAAACCAAACCTATTGTTCCTCGTGTTGCTTAAGTCATAAGTGGAAAAACAGAATGAAGTGGAAAACCAGAATGAAGTGGAAAACTAGAATGAAAAGAATCAGGAAGATAAAGACAAGGCAAAATACAATATGAAGACAAATAATAGGAAAAAAATAAAAATGCCTCATTTCAAATGCATTGTGAAACAGATGCTCTGAGACAAGTGGCATTGAAGGCAGAAGGGGTAGTGTTATTTATGATTAACACATATAATTAACATATTTAGTATTAACTGTGCTATTTTAAAATAGAATGTAAGCGACTTAAACTTCAATCCAACTTCTTAAGTATTCAGGCTGAAATTTTCCACTCAGGATGTTTGTCTCAAGCTGTTTCAGTGAAAATAGCTTTTATTTCGAAAAACAAGATGAGGAAAAACATATGTTCCATCCATACTTATTTGGTTTTTGCAACTGTTGCATCTCTGAGCTTTGCAGAGGAACTTTGAATCTGCAAATCACATTTATAATAAAGGTGGAAAAATAGGTCCCGAAAATATGCAAGTTGTGGAACTTATGTAACTGAGGAAGAAACCACAAGTTGCACAGGGTTAAGAGACATAACAGAGATTGCCAGCACAGTTCTCTCAAGATCTCACCTGCCTGCAGCTTGCTGTAGCAGAGCATGATGTCAACTCGCAATTATGTCATAATATGTACAGAAGGGAGAAAAAACCTTAATTTTGGCAGGATGTGGCTTTGCAATTTCAGTAATATCCTTTCAGCGCTGTTTCCCTCTGTGTGTAGAACAAAACTGTACAAACTTTGTAGATGAAGGTTGTGGATGGCATTACACACTGCCCTACCTTGTCAGCAAGTGATATTCATAACAGGAAGCAATCAAACTTCTGTATTTTCCCCAAATACAGGGATATGTCTGCACAGCCAATGAATGAACTAGTTTAAGCCATAGTAGTCTAGCCAGGACAACGTGGATCTCAGAACGGATTATTTAATTCTGATTAGTAGGGATGTCTGCTCTACAAAACTAGACTGTCACGGATGCATTCTGAAACTGCTGCGCAGGGTACCCAAACCCTCCATATCTTTCTGTGCAATCAAGAAAGGTTGCCTGGCTATAGGTTCTATGAACAATAGCCTACCAAACTCTTAAAAAATGCACGTCATTGGTTAGAGTAAGTGAGAAGCATCAGGACTTGAAGACCACTTTTGAGGGGCAAATATCGCTTAGCTACATGACTGAGGTAAAGCAAGTAGCCATCATCTTTTCTGTCCTCTGCACCTGAAAGCACAACCCTCCTCTTTGGGGCAGGACTTCTGTCACACGCAGACACCAACTGAGCTAACAGGTAAGAGAGCATGAAGCTGTCTTCCTGCTACCTGGCAGACTCGAATATCCAGGCATCAGTGGATCTGAGCAGAGAAAGAGACAGAGGACCAGACAGGATTGCTACATATTGCCCCTAGAAATCAAAACAAAACAAAGCCACTGAACAGCTTGGCCCTCATGTCTTGCAGCTGTAACTCGACACAGAATCCCTGCTGTATAACAACAGAGGAAAAGAACAAGGGAAAGAAAGAAACATTCAGCATTTGAGGGGAAAAAAAACAAAGGGACATAAGTCTATTTTTAAATAATCTGTATATGTCTGGTGGTCCAGTTAGTGTTTTGTTTCTTTCGGTGAAAGCACAGTGACATAAGGGACAGGCCACCATCCAGAGCTGCTGACAATCCAAGTAACAGTCTGCATTGCTCTGCCTCTTCTCTTCAATATTTATGTGGCATTTCACATCATTTTTGTTTCCTTTAACCCTGACTCACATTCCTCTATTCTGAGATACCTCACTCCTTCTCTCTTCATAGAGACATTTTGAAAGCTGTTTTTCTCCCCAACAGAAATTCCATATATTTTAAAATGTATGTTCACTTAACCCCTCAACTTGTAAGCAAAAAGAGAGGTGATTCTACGTATTTAACCAGACCCCGTCAACTTCATGGACTGTATCTACATAAAGATGATTTTTTTCGTGACAAAGCTCTGCAGTCCTATCATACATTGTCAGGGTCCTCAATAAATAAAGCTTAAAAGCCCACTAAACAGTACTCGGAAGTAAAAAGGATCCTGAGAAGTTGTTTGTTTGGTACGAATATCCACATCTGCTTCTGATTTTACCATCAAATGAAACTGAGCAACAGCCATAACTCAAAATAAGGTGCTGAATGACCTGTCTAATTGAGAACACAGACCATTTGGTCACTATATAAATTAATAAGAAGGGATAAGTACAAACAAAACAAAACAATTCATGATTTTGATGATTGCAAAGAAATGCATAGGGCCACGAGAAACACCTCATCTTTGACTGTTTTAGTACCTATTTTCTTGTCTACACTTCTTTCACAGGAGTGATAGATCAGCCAGCTTCAGTAACCCTTCCAGATCTTAAATAAAACATTCTTTTCGCATTAGCAAAAAGTTATTACCATCTGTATTGTATTCAGTCTCTGTTTAGTGTGTACAAATATCTGGCAGACTCACCATCTTCTTTGTGCCAATAACAGTCCTTAGAATTAAAAAATGAAGTCTTGTGCAACAAAAAAGTTGTTGTACAAAATCCTTCTCTAGAAATACACTACTGTAAGGCAACACAAAATCCTATCAGAACAGTTACAAAAACAGCTAAACCTCTAACTTCTGTGTTTTTAATATAGAGTTTGTAATACAAAACCAGGGGATGAGTAGCATCCAAGACCAAAGGGTTCTTCAGCCATTTGACAGTCACTAAAACGATGCTGTCAAAGGTTCTTTGTTACTGCCTCAATTACACGTTCTGCATCCGACCTGCAAACATTTGATCTTGGGCCTGATCTCTGTCCTTACTCGGTGTTTTGCGTTTAAAGAAGATTTTGACCATACAGACATGGATATTAACATACCTGTCCAAAGGGGAGCAAACTGAAATGGGTTAGTCTGTCTCACTTGACAAACTAAGCTGCCTTAGATAACATCAGACAGCCCCAGGATTCTTGCCAGGAGAAGCTTGCCTTAATAGGTTTAAGTTGGAACCTAGCTTTCAAAATAACATTATCCAAGCATTCATCACAAAAATTACATTGCTCCTTGTATACCTTGTAGGGAACACACTACCTAAGAGCTACAAAGGGAATGTTAC